TGAGAGGTCTGCTGGCAACCCTGAATCATGCCCCATCAGGAGAGGCAGGATTAGGTACAAAATACCCAGAGAAGTATTTGCAAACCTGAAATGTTTAGCAAGCCTCTTATCCGCAAAATGGTTCATTGCTTTTAAAGACAGATTGGCATTTGCCACCAGCCAATGTTAAATGGGCAGCAAGTTTCTACAAACTGCTTTACAAACACACAGGCATGCCAGTGCTAAAGAAGTGTTTCTCTCCTAGCTGGGAAAGGGTAGCTATCAAGACAACAGGCACTTCAGCGTCTTATCCTGTGAGACACGACATGAACGTGGTCTTCAAGACTTCTCACCCAAAACAGTAAAATATGTTTATATAAGCAGAAAAAGGGCACACTCACTTTCTAAGCAGCATGAACTATTAGCTAATTTCCCAAAAGTCTGTGTTGTTTTAAATATATCACACCTTAAAGGGCAACAGTTTCACTAATGGGGAAAAGCCCTGGAGCATATGTCTGAGCAGCTTTCTTTGCAGAGGGCACATTTGGATGGCATTTATCTTGAGGCTATCAATATTTACTAAAGGTGGCTATAAGACCATCTGGGTCTTGCTTTATTAGTCATGAGGGACACAAGCCACAAAAATATGACAGCAAATGGACTTGCACCTGGTGCATGCTCCTAAGCCTGTTGCAAAAACCTTGTGATTCTCCTTCTCATGCAAGGATATTTCAAAGTGTCACAGGGTTAGAAGATAATTCAGGTTGGAAGAGACCCCCAGAAGTCCTTATTCCAACTTCCTGCCCAAAGCAGGGTCAGCTTGGAGGTCAGATGTGGTTGCTCAGAGGTGTACCCAATCTGGCCTTCGAAATCTTCAGGGACAGAGACAGCCCAACTTTTCTGGGGGAGCTGTTCTGTTATTTGACTGCCTTCACAGTGAAAGTTTTTCCTTATACCCAGTCCAAATCTGTCGTTTCAGCTCATTTCAGCCATTGTGTCTCATCGCCCTTTCATGCACTGCTGTGAAGAGCTTGGTGACAATTTCTTGATGACCTTCTTGTAGGCACTGGGAGGCTGCTGCTAGGTTCCTTACCCAGACTGAACAAGCCCAGCTTGACCACACCATTTCAGCCATTGCATGAGGCAGCTGTTGCCCCTGAGATCCAGCCATCTGGAGACACTTGTGACATGGGTGTCTTTGGCTTTTTTAACAGGGGTAAAAATTCATGCATGAATTAAGCAAAAGAAAGCATCCTCATGACTGGCGTGAGCTAGAAGTGCCCCTGTACAGCTCAATCTGCCAACACCATTTCCTTACTTAAGGAAAGTAAATAAAAGAAGCCCAAGAATGAAATCTCAGGTATGATTCTTGCTTTTACATGTTTCAATATTTTTTCTTCTGCTTTAAGCATAAGTTTGGGATGGGCTTAAAGCAAACTCCCATTTGCTGAATGCTGCAGGGATTGAATCCCACTTCTCTTCCGTTTCCCTGCCCTCTGCCCTTAAAATAAGCTGACCAACATCTCCAGATTTCCTGCACCCTAAGTATAAAGGTCCAAGTGTCCAAATTTACCTTGACATTTTTTTTTATTTCCAAAGTAAATCTCTCATCCCAGAGAGCCTTTTTCTTCATGTCAGGCTTTTACCATTTACAACCTAAACTAAACTAGGTGTTCTCTAACCTCATTTTATTTCAGCACTAATCACATCAGTATCAGTACAGGTCCCTGTAGGAGATGGACTGGAGGGAGCACAGAGCTGCTGCCAGCCAACTGAGCTGCAGGAGTCATGTTTGGAAATAACAGATCTCTCCACCTGTCTGCTTTAGGAACCACTGTGGAGCCTTCAAGGAATGCAAGTGTCATCTGAAATGCAATCACAGAGCAAAACTGTGGTGGCCTTAGGATACTGACTGAAAGTAAAGCTGAATGCTCCATAGTAACTCCTCTGAGTACATCCAGCAGAGACTAACTTCCATAAAACCAGTTGACGGCCCAGTTCTTTTAAAATCAGACCACTTATTTAGGCACCTAGTTAAAAAATTGGGCGGCTTTTTTTCCACGTAGTGTTGGCATGGTCTCAGTGATCATTTTATTTTATTTCAATTTTCATTGCAAATCATTTATGCTCATTCTGAAATAAAATGGCCATCAGGCAGAGCAGGAGACTAAGGAAATTACCCAGAACATGATGAAGAGCAATCGTAACAGTTAGTATCCACTGCACCAGCAGCAGAACACACACACTCACGTTATTTATGAAGAGGTGTTGTTACTGAAGCAGATGCCAAGGTCCCAACACACACAGTTTATCATAATACCCTGAAATTTACAGCTTTTCTTAAATCTCCACCTCCCAGACTCATGGATATTGAGAGATTTTTAGATTTCAAAATGCACCAGTTTCCACACCAGTCTTAGGAGTTAGGGGGCTGATACAAACATTTTGGGCACATAGCAACAGCTTTAATAAGGAAATGTGATTTTAAAAATATGCCAGGTATCCCTTTAAGTCTGCAATTAGGGCCTGATTTCCAAAACACCTCCAGGCAACCTTCAAGTTTTGCAGGCATAATTATCTGCGGATGCAAAGCTAGAGGCTGTTGACGAAGAGGAGGTCTTTAATGTTTTATTTTCTGGCTGCACGTCATGCAGTTTTCTGTATCACAGAGTATCCTGTTAATGTAGATTTTCTTCACAGCATTAATGGAGAATGCCCTTTGCAAGGCACTGAGTTATTTTCAGGAAGTGCACTCTGGTACAAAGTGGAGTAAGTCCAGGAAAGAAAAGGCTGTAAACAACTATTTTTTTCACTTCCACTGCAAATCTAGGAGGTTCTGTTTAGAACAGAAGCTGAACCAAGACTCAGACACACCCTGCTGCAACCAGCATGGATAGTGGCTAAGGCAGAGGCCCAGGATTTCTATCACCATCAGTCCTGGCCAGCCTACTGCAATGGAAAGGCAGCTCCTGCCTGGACCATTCCTGCCAGGCAGCCTGATTCTAGGCTGCTCCCGGCTGATGGCCACTCAGAGTTTGAGATTAAAGGCATAAAGCAGAATTAGATCCTCCTAGATTAGGATCTAGTTAGGATTACTGAATTAGATCCGAAGTAGAATAGCCAAGGTGAAGTATCCTGGGTGAAGCGCTGCCAAGTCAGACAGTCTTCTGCCTTATCTGTAGCCTCATATGAACTCCAGGCCCATGGATGCTGCAGCTAAAGTGACTCTGCAACACAGTTAGAGTCACTGCAGCAGTGGCTAGGGCAAGCCAGGGCTGAAAGGACCCATTGCACAAACTCCTGCCAAGTCTGTAGGAGCTTCTCTGCAGCAGCTAAAGCTCTCACAAAAACCCTGTCCCAGTTAGGCACGATGACACAGCTGGGGTACGCATACCCATTCCACTCATGCAGGTCCTTCATTTGGTATATGGGAGAACGGGGACAGACAGATTCATGAACAAAGGTCCCTGACCTTTCCTGCGAGCGAAAAGTATCAACACTGCTTTCTGTAGCCTGTGGCATCCTGAGCTTCCCAGAGAGACCAGGTGCCTCAGCAAAGAGATTTCTATTGCTTAGCTCGGGAGAGACAAATTCACAGCCTGAGCCAGTGTATCAGTGAAATGAATTTTTTGCTATAACATAAAGGTTAAACTGCAATAAAGTTGCCAAGGCATCAATTAAATGATAGAGATATATAAAGGCCATCTTTTTTCTAGAGTAATTTGGACAAACTGCACAGACTTTCCAATTTATACCAGCAAAACATACAGACCATGGTGACAGAGCAATGTGGTCTTACAGTACAAAACAAGTATTGATGGATAGCTAATTGCCCTGGCTACTTGCCAGGCTCAAATTAACCACCTGAGCTACTAGCATGGATGGCTAGAGGCAAAAATATACCTGCTATCATCTCAGTATAAGGACTAGTCTAAGTACTTCATTAACAAATCATTACTCTTAGAGATAGCCTCACACAGTGGGATAAGTCAATTTTATTTAATTGGAACAAAGTTCTATTGGCTGAGCCTGGGCATATTACTATAATTGATTTTTAAATATCAATTTAAGTATATAACCACTTTATTCTATTGCTTCTCTATACCTCGGAGATTCAGAACCACTGCCCTGATGTCAGCTTGTACCAGGGGCGCTCTGATCTGAAGTATCATCTCTCCACCCCCAGGGGTGCACTGGTTAATAAACTGATTTTGCATAGAGGTAGTCAAGTGTCTTTCTCCTGGCATATGCAACCTGCATGCCTGCACTGATCCATCAACAGGAGAGCAAGCAAGGACTTGCATGCATTTGCAATACCTACCTTAATGCAGCAGGAGCAGCACTGAGGACTGAGCAACTCATGCCCAGAGATATGCATGCCGGGGGCAGGAAAGCATGGGAAAAAGCAGCCTGTTCCTTGAAGCCTACTTCCCTCTCTGTCCTCTGAGCACCTCCATCCCTGGAGTAAGAGGAGCAGACTAGGACTGCAGGGAGGTTTGGCTAAAGTTTGGTAGGGCTTGGGCCCAAAGAAGCACCAAGAAGGCCTACATGGATTTCTGATGGGTTTGTCAAGGCTGCAGCAAGAGCTGATCCTCGGCATCTGCTAAAATCCCTCTTATTTGTTATTTAACATCAGCTGTTTGCATGACTGGGCTGCAGCTGAGAGATGTTTTGCCTTTGTTGCTTCTGGAGGTGTGGAAGACCTTAGCAGGAGAAAGGGTAAGGAATGTTGCTGCCCAGGTTTCCTTATCTCTGTTGCTTTATGACTTCTGTGTCCTCTGTACTCAGTCTGAGCAAAAATGAATTAATAGTTTTAGGGCCTTGAGCTACCAAAATGACCCTGCCAACCTGAGGCAAGCAATTCAGGCAAAATCAGTCCATCCCTGTGGTGGATTCCTGGAGGCATATCCCTGATATGCTTGGTCACGATTGGGCTCACCTGTCCCCACACAGGACATACACACCTCTCCCTTGACTTTCTCTCAGCTCAAATCAGCACAGTGTTGCTCCCAGCCTCTCACCTTGCCATCGATGGTGACTGCAGCAAAGACTGTGGAGGAGTAAGGGGACCACGTGACGTCCCCTACAGCAGAGTTCAGGTCATAAATAAACATTGGAGTCCTGTAAAAAAAAGACCCAGGGAGAAGAACTCATTTAAACACATGCTGCTCTGGAAGTGAAACATTGAGCTATAAACATTTTGATGCTACGGGCTCTGTTGCTCAAGGGTATCTCTCTGAACAAAAGGCAAAGCAACCCAAATGGGTCAGGTTTGGTCCTTCTGTGACGAGAAGGAAGGTAGCATGTTTCTTTCTGAAAGCATTTCGAAAGTTTCCCATCAACACACACAGCAAGATGGAGTCTCTCTGGTTAATAATCACATGGGAAAAAGTGATTTTGCCTCTCTGGATTTCTCACAACAACATTGAATATTAGAGCAGTATTGGCAACAGGAAATATTTGACTCTGACAACAAAATCAATTTCCTGATTGAAACCAGACATTCCTCAACCACTAACCCTGAACTTCATTACGTATTTTTACATGTTCCAATGCTTTTTTTTTTGCCTCTCTGGCTCTTCAGAGGCGTTTGGAGCCTGAAGCTGTAAGGCAGCCCTTGACATTTCTCTATAACATTGCTCTAGAAGAATAATCCTGCCACAGTAGGTCCTGTCTGAAGAAAGCCAGGTTAAAAGTGGAGCAGCCAGGCTCTGTGCAGAGATGCACTCTTTGGCACTTTCCTGGGGCAGCCAACACTAGATCTTATATCTCACACCTGGGGTGTACAGATCTAAGTCATCAGCCCCAAAAACAGGGATAAGAGAGCAATTAGCAATATGAACACCTAAGAGGGAAACTGAGACAAGTTTAAGCAGGGTTGGCATATGCAGCTGGAATGTCAGGCTGGATCTCCCTGTCCATGCCAGGACCCAGCAGGACCTACTTGATGGTGTGATCCCAGATCTTGACTGTCCAGTCAGAGCTGCAGGAAATGAAGACTTTCAAGTGGTAGGGATTCCAGCTGACTGAGTCCACAGCCATGTGATGGGCTTCAAACACATCCAGAAACTGGCTTGAATAGCATTTTGAACACTACAATGGAAAGAATTAGTCAGCAATTAGAGCTAGACCTTCTTTTTGAAGCTCGTATTTCTGCAGAAAGACATCTCTGAATACTTGCATGTCCTCCCAGGCTCTTCTGGGCTGGCTGGGAAAAGGTGGCTGGTACCCAGGGGTCCTAGAGAAACGAAATAATTTAGCACATGCTGTTTCACCCCACTCAAAGGCAACACTGAGCTTCTCTCTGCAATACACAGAGGTAGGAATTGAAGTTTTCTAGTTGGATTTACACCTGGAGCTGGGCCCCAGAGCCCATTCTCCACGGCAGAAGTTCCTGTCTTGCTCTGTAAAAGGTTTTCAGGAATGGTGGGGTAAAACAGCTCTTGTGTAGCTCAGGAGCACATGGCACCATGTATATCTGAAGTGTTGCAATTAAAACCTCCAGTAACAGTGCTCTCAGCACAAAAATGACCTATCACATCCTTTAGCTCTAAGGATTTAGGGAATATGCCGAAAGTCCCTTCCCTGCCATCACCATGCAACAGTCTGCCTGAGAGCCTGCCCATCACATGGCTCTGTAGCTCCTTGTCTTGTGCCACTCATGGCTTCGCAGAGGTGCGTGAGAACAACAGGGTGTTGGCCAGCACTCAGGCATGTCCCTCATGGGTAGGTGGGCCACCTTGTACCCCAGCCAACATCAGCCTGTAAACTGGGCAAACCCTGCATATGCATGTAGGGGTTAGGCTAGCAGCATCACAGCTGCAGGTACTACTGAATAGCAAAACATAGGACATGTGCAAGAGCTGGAAAACATTTGACAGCCTTGGAAAAATCACTTTGTGTGTGAGCTCATGAAGTGAGGAAGAAGTTACAATCTGCTTGACTGCAGGAGCAGAACATGAGGCTTGATCCAGATCCTGTCAGTTCTGTATACACAAATAAAGAGGTTGTCCTCCCCAAACCTCCTCCTCCCTGCGAGGACTGCAGGCTTCCTTTGCTAGCAACAAGGACCTCATCTCACAAGTAAGGTCCTCTTCGTTGTGCTCTCACACAGAAGCTATATCCACACAGCATGTTGGCGTTGGTTTCAGGATTTTCTGTTGGTCTGCCTTGGTACTGTCAGTACAAGGACTTTTCAGAACCTTTCAATACTCCCTAAGGAGGAACAACATATCATCTGCTCAAGCAGCAGCATTGCCGAAGTGTTACCTGACTAATTCTTGCAAGCCAAAGCTCAGAAGGCTTAACTGTTTATTACAGATGACACTCACTGGATACTCAGACCTATTTTCTTCCAGTGCTCTTGTGCACTGGTGCAGGTACTGGTCTGAGGGTGCTAAACTATTCACAGAGCAGCAGCAACTGCATCCCTGGGAGGCTTCCTGTTGGAGGAAATGGAGAGGAGAAAGTAGTTCATGTCCCACTGAGATTTACAGACTGTGTCTACAGCTTGCTAATAGTTTGTTGCATACTCTGTCTCTGAGTTACTGTCCCTGTGTGTGATTATGGGACCGAAATCTCATTTAATTGCATGTTTCATAACTTCACGACATAATTCTTAATGTTCATCCACCGGGAAAATTGGTACTTGGCTTGTTTTGAAAATCACTTTGCTGGGAGCAGACAAAATAGGTCATAAGTAACTAACACAAGAGAGAAGCTGCTTCATCCACTGGTCCTTCCAAGTATGTGGACTGCAGTCCCTAATACCTGAGGACTCTGAAGATTGAGATTGTAATCAGATCTGTCTGCATCCAGCAGAACTATAATGCTCAGCACTCTGTTTTTAAAGCCATGTTGGGGCTAAGCCCTGTAACAGTGCAGCTCTGCAGGCACTGCTAGGAGGGGGCCCTCATACTCTGAGATGTGCTAACCCACAGCACTGGCTTTGCAGCGTGAGCTGAGGCTCAGGCCATGACAGAAAGGGGATCTGTGGATTTCCTACGAGATCCGAAGCAAAAAAGGATCTCCAGGGCAGATGCCTGGCTGTGTGCCTTGTGAGAAATGAATGCTGCATGCCTGCTTTAGCCTAAAGCCATACACCATGCTCTGGCAGTGCCTGTCAGACCCACACTGTGTTCACCACCACCTTTGGTATAATCTCTGATGTGTGAGACAAGGCCATGTTCTTCCCAAGATGCATTTTTGAAGAAACACCACAAACTTGAGTTAAAGCTCAGAAAGAAGTGTGACTTTAATGAATAAAAGGTTTCTGGGCTAACGAGAACTGCTGGCAAAGTCTTCCCCTGCTATTCACTTTAAAAACCCTACAGTTATTAGACACATGTCAGGATGAAAACAAAACCACTGGAAAATGTGACACCTAACTCCTGACAAGACGGCTTTGAAGAGGATGAGTAGATTCAGAGAGGAGGCATTTGTGCAGCCTGTCTGATCTTCTAGAGCACTGCTCCAATTTGCTGAGAGTGTTTTTCTGCTATTTAAATGGCGATAGATGCATGTTAATAGTAAATGGTATTTTTATGATGAGACAGGAAAGCAAGAATGTGTCTATGGCAATACAGGAAATGAGTATGAAAACAATTGGTGACAGGGCTACAAAACACATGGAAGGAATACTGGGAAGAAGGAAGAACTCCAAGGACACAAAACTTATAAATAATCTTCATTAATAACACTTCAGTTTACACTAGACACTAGCCTGCCACAAAACTCCTTCGTACCCATGGTGAATGGATGGTTATTAGTGTCCTTATGATGCAGAGGGTTTCTTTAGTCCACTAACAGAAACACTGAGACTCTAGGCAATATAGAAATAAAAAAAGATTCTTTTTCAAAGGAGGTTTTTATCAGGCAACAGAAAGAGTACTGCCCAACATTGGCACTCCCAGGAGGATCAGCACACCCAGCTGCTCTTCAGAAACAACTGACACAAACGTGTTCCATGTTGTGACGACAGCTGTTACCAGCAACACCAGAGTGTTTTCTGGGTTTTGCTCAGTGCCTTCTTGCAGAGATCTGTAACAGAAATGCTGAGATTTGGAGAAAGGCTTATGAACAGAAAGAGGCATGTGAATACGTCAGGAAATGGTAAAAGGAAGAACCTGTGACGGCAAATGTAGTCAGTCAAGTGACAAGAATACCGGACAGAACAAGTAGAAGCCCCAAAGATAAGGTGACAAGAAGGAAGAGAACTCAAGCCATAAAATATCCAGACAAGGAAAACAGCTTTGCCTAAGAGAAAACAAGACACTGAGGCAAATGATCTCTCCATTAGCAAAGGGTCGGTGGAAGTTGAAGCCTGCCTGGGAACCAGTTTGTCATCATCATTCAGGGAAAACCCAAGAGATGCGGTAGGACTCAGCAGCGAGCATCCTTTGTCATCTGCATAACCACAAGAAATCCTGTCCTGAATAGATACAAATGTCCTGGTGCTTAGTATAAGAGAATGAGTATGGGCAAAACTAATTTTGTTTAAAATTAGAATCACCTTTTCCTTCTCTACAGACTTGCATTGAGTTTTATTATATTCAAATTGCCTAAGACTTAAAAAGACCTCTCTCTTAAATGAGTATGTTCAAATCCCTTCAAATCTCATCACATTTTTTTCTGTCGAAGCCCTGTTTATTATGAAGTAATTCTGACCAAAAGGTGAAGCCACTATAATTTTTCAATACGAATCCCACAGATCATACTTTTTGATACCAAAGCTGAACAATTCCTAAACAGCAAGCAAGATACACAGAGGCGATTTTTGCACTGCAGAATCATATTCATGCAGAAACAGTTTGTCCTCTATGTAAAAGGGCAATAGATAGGTCTGTGTGTAATTAAGATAATGATTTCTTGGCTTCAGAAATGCTATTAACTAAGCCATTTTAAAAAAATTCACTGTAATTGTTCCGCAGCAAAGCAATTAACATATTATCACGCTATTTGTGGGCATGCCTGGTCTCTGAAAAAAAGCCTCCTTGAAATTCTCTTTCTAATTTATTTAATAAATAATCTAAAATTTGGCCCATGTGGAAAGCAACCCATATTTGATTCATGACTCAAGTAGCATGTAAGACATCTGTCCCCCTCACTCAGTGTGCAGTGGCAAGGGCAAGTGCAGCACAGAGACCTGAGTAGCTCACTCCTGCACAGTGCTGTCACACACCCGAGAGCTGCTCAAACAGCTGCAGGAATGTCACTGTCCTTGTCATCTGAGTGGAGCAAGGCTCAGGGAGGCAGTCTGCAGGCAGCTCCAGTAATGGGCTCAGATGTGCAGTGTTTCAATAAAAGGTGTGATGGAGGTGTATAGTAGTCCTTAAGAAATGTCTGGAGCAGCAGTTGATCCCAAAACTTTTGAAAATGCTTGTAGTGACCTCTTGGGGAATGCTAAGGGTACAAGCATGCTTCTCCATTTTTGTAGATACTATGGATGCTGGTTTGTGTTAGACACAAGATTTCTCTTCCCTGTGTCAGCCCACACAATGGATGGAAGTGATGGAAGATTGCCTCTTCCTGCCCACAGGAACACTTGAATTTTATAGGGTAGTGTTGCATGACATGAGAGGGGTCCCACTTTTCACTAAGCCTCACCAATGCAGGAATGTTTTGCTGCTTACCAGCAACCCTGAAATCAGCCTTAGCACCAATAAAAGACAGGATTGTATAGAACAGTATCTCTCCGCATTTGTCCACCCAAGAAGTGGAAAAAATATCTGCCTGGCTTCACGACTGGGATCACTCCTTATATTAAAACCCTATCCTCATTCTAGTTTCACTTAAGGTCATTCAAGGCAGGAACACATAGAGCTTTGTCAATGCAGATGCTATTAAATTCTGTTCCTATTCGGTCATGAAGGATTTTCTTTGCTATGTAACTCCGCCAGGGCACCAGCCTGAATGTTTCTCCTGAATGTTTTCTCCTGGCCTTCACCTAACACTGACATCCATTACTCACCAGCATAGAGGAAGTTAAAATGTGGTTCATAACTACTATTTGAACAGGACTAGATACAATGGTATCCAAGCAATACGGAGTGAAATACCAATGGGCAACCAGCCAACTCAGAACATCTGCCCATGGCTGAACAGATGCTTTGTATCCTGAAAGCATCAACAAAAAGCCACTGCACCTACCTGGCTGCCCATTGCCTATCGGACCAGTACGCCCATTTCTTCCACCTCCCTTTTGCAACTGTCTTCTCCAATGCAACTGAGCACTACTCAGAAATCCTCCCTAAATATTGCATGACAGAGGAAGAGATTTCTGTCAGTACCCTCCTTCTGGAAAGAGTACATATTTGTAATGTCCAGCTTGCCTAAATGATTCATACTGATTTCAGAATATGATTTTCTTTGGGTTCTTTTTCTGTTTCCCTTTTGCAGGCAGGACATGGTGAAGGAGCTTGCAGCGTCCTCTAGGGATGGCCGGATGGGTCTGCTCTGCATGTCAGCCTCCTGCTGATGGTGCACCCCCTACCACAAAGCCAGCTCAGAGTAATGCTATACAAACAAAAGTTACATGAGTAAGCATCTACAGGCTTTATTTTCAAGGCTAAGTACAGCAGAGCTCAAAATTTCCTATTTTTAACTTGATTTCTTAAGAAAACACAGTGTCTGTGTCCTGCTGTCTGCTTGTCTCTCCTCCCAAACAACTTTTGACCTCACTGGCAATTTCAGCCAAAGCTGGCTGCATGCAGGACTTGGCAATATTAAATCTTACACGCTCTATAATAAGGGATGAACATAAAATGCAAACATCTAGGCAGTGCCCCCACCCTGGGAAGGGAAAGAAAAGCTTGGCTGCTGCCCTCACCAGTGGCTAGACCTGGCTGGCCAACATCTCTCAGCTGCTGGAGGGCACCGCAGGGGAGGCAACCAGCACTGTCTGCAGGTTATAGCGTGGAGCAGGTTATAGCGTGGAGCAGGTTATAGCATGGTCACTGAGCTGGTGATGAGATGGGGGTGATGAGAGGGAGGAAGAATTAGCGTACATAGCAAGGAACTGAAGACAGGTAGGAAAGGAGAAAGTGGGACTGGAAGAGGGATCTGGGATGTAATTGTGTAAGGGCAAGGCTACGGGACACTGATCCATAGGAAACAAGGCTTCGTTAGCACCACTGCTCAGGTCTAAAAGGTAAAAGGGATGAGATTTTTCCTGCCTTTTCCCCATAGCCATGAGGACAGAGGATCAATGTCTTTTAACTTGTGCTCTGATCATAGTTAGCACCTCGCTTGCACAGCTGTCATCTGCAAAGCATTCTGGGATGCAGTTTGCATGAAAAACGTTTCTGCAAAATAAGGTCTTAATTGGGTCTCTGCAGAGTGCTCCCTGCGACCCTCTGTGGCTCTGTGCTGGTCTCGGGCTTACAACAGGGAAGGAGGGCAGGACCAGGCTCTGAAGCTGTACTTTGTTACTGCCTCAGTGCACAGTTAAGACGATGAACCTGAAAGACAAGCATGGGTCAGAGGATGTAAAACAAGGGACAAAGAAACCATTCTTACCTTATAGATCTTTCCCTCTTCAGTACCAACGAGAAATAAATGGTCTATCTTTTTGTGAAAATCAAATGATGTCCCGCAGCCTGTTAGCAGAAGAAAGGTCTGTCAGACAGAGAATTAGTTCATCTGGACAGCACATGCTCCCTGCCCATGGTACACATACGCTGCCAATGTTTTCAGAAGTGATTTAATTAGCCAAAACCTCCCTCAAGAAATTAGAGCCAGCCCTTCTGCAAACATGTTCCAAGTTGTGCCTGTCCACAAGACCTGCCATTTGAAAAGTCAGCACAGTAAGGAAAAAGGGGACTGGAAGAACTGGAAGGGAACTGGAAGAACAGATTGGCCCTGGATTCACTTGGGTAAGAATTTAAAATCCCTGGTGCAAGTGTAAGAGGACCTTCTTCCTATTGAGAAAGAAAAGTTCTTTTCTGTTTGCTTAGTATTCATAAAAATGTGTATGGTTTCCTATGTATAAAAGAGCCCAGAGAGGAAACACCATGTGCCCTTTTCATCCTTAGCTGAGATGCCATTTAGCAGGCTCACTTCAGTAAAGCCAATAGCAAAGGCTGTGATTTAGGAAGAAATCTTCTGCCAGGCACAGAAGGATCCTCTTAACTTCAAAAGACCTGAACTAAGCAATATTGTGAACTATTCTTAAAAACAGGTGTCAACTACAGCAGGATGTTACTCCTTGAGATTTTGTGGCTTCTGGTCCTGAGGCAGATGCAACATCATCCAAGAAAGCCAATTCTCATGGTGGTGAAAGAAGATTTCAGTAAGGTCCTTGAGTAGAAGATGTGATGTTTGCTGAGTGCCAGAGCAACATCGGGCTGCAGACCAGCAGGGACACCCACAGCAATCAGCAGATGAGAAACAGGAATGAGCAGACAAGGCTTAGAAGCACACAGACCTTACTGCAAAGGCAGCTGTCTTAAACATTATATCTTAAATGTTAACAATATGTAGTCCTCAAAGGAATTGTTAAGGTCATTTCAACCCTATAATACTATCTGCATTTTTAACATTTAAATAGATTGTTAAATATTCAAGACAAATCTCTGAAAATCCATTTCCCAGTAACACTAACAAATAATCTCAAAGCTCCTGGGAGTTCTGCAGTGTACTATTTTAGTTGGGTCTCTTGCAACCTACATGACAATGCAAACCTTCTCAAAAACAAATTGTTCAGCAGCTACTAGCTTAGAAACAGAGCAATCATTAAATGCAGAGCACGTGCCTTCTCCAAACCCAGGCAACAGCCAAAAGCAGGTGTAGTAGATGATTAAGGAATTTCTCAAGGCTCCCTGTGTAGTCCAGGACCTCCAGAACTGACTCATCTCATCCTGTCTAAAACACACGATGGTGAGGATAAGGGAATTCATCCTAGAAGGACTGTACTCTCTCCACTTTCCCTGGAGTTGTAGTTTAGAGAAGAAGCTGTGCTTTTAAAGAGCCAAAAGGCAATGAGGCACATCCCATCACTGGCTGGATGAGCTGTGCATCCAGGAAACAGGAGAGGTTTTTTATCATGATTTGGCCAGTCCAGATCAATGTCTGGTAGGAAGAACAAAGCTGATGTAGTTTTGACAGGTAATGCCTGTGCCTTGTCTGCATTGGGATATTCCAGTAAAACAGATAATTTTTGAGTTAATGTTTCTCTTTTTCTGCAAGCAAAAGTAGGACGTAACCAGCAAAACTTGAGTTAGTGGCTATTGCTCCAGATAGACTTTGCCCTACTACATGATGAAAGCAAGGAGGCGTAACCCTTCTTTAGCTCTTTTCCATCTCAATACCCCACTCCCAATTTAATTCCCCAGAATGACTGATTAGAGGCTTTGTGTCAGTAATTAATCAGCATGGCAAGAACTTGGGCTCCTACCAAGTGTTTGCAGCTGCAGCCCCTCTGGCCCCTGCTTTGTCGTTCCTTCTGCTGACAGCTTGATGACATCTGTATGAACCAGCTCATTCTGCAGGCAGAGGAGATTCCACGTGAATAACATGATTTACAGCAACAATACAGAGACATTCAGCACTGTGAAATGGCAAATTTTACACAGGAATTTTTAAAAGCTGTCCAAAAATTGCTTAATGTTTCATGCTTATAGTTGGCAACTTGCTAACATGCTGTTCTGCATAAAAGCTCCAGGAAACTGATGCTTTGGTGCACTGCAACTGAGAGCCACTGATACATTACCCAGGAATACGCAGCTGACATGGAAAGCTTTGGGTTTCAGGGTCGACATTTTTGAGTGGAGGTTGACGCTGTCAGCTTAAATCATTGCGTTAAGTGAAATCACCCTGTGTGGTTTGAGTACTGCATATTATCACGGAGACAACTAAAACCCACACTAATGTATAGTAACTTAACACCTTGCCAGTTTTTGTTTCTTACCGTCCTATTATTATCCCCAGAGCAGCCTCATTTCTCAATAATCACAACCTCACGGGCTCTGAGATTCAAATAACAAAAACATCTAGCAAGCAGGTCCCTCAAGGGAAAAGTGCCCAATGTTGCTGTTATCAGCAGATCTCTAACGAGCTCTCACTGCAGGCCATGACACTGCTGTGCCAGGTGATATAAGAACATAGAGCAAAAAGGCTGTGCCCCAAAGACTTTATAGTCGAGGTAAGAAGACAGATGAAAATAGACACAATGTGGGTGAGTATGAGGAAACAATGAGAGGGCAAAGATCCATTCTTAGACTAGCTTTGGGAATGAAATTGCCACTGCAGAATGGAGTTGGTTGTGAATATAAGAATACCCTAGGGTTCATAAGAAGAACAAAGAACTAAAGATTAAATTAGTGAGCAGTGTGGGCTGAGGACTGGATGTTTTCATGAATCTGCAGATTTCCCACTGGAGCACTGTGAGAACAAAACATAACTTAGCTCAGTGAATCAAGCTTTCGTTGAAGTTTCTCTAAGCTTCGAGTAGGACTCAGGTGGAAAAAGAGATTCTGCCTGGCAAAGTCAATACTAGGGAATTGAATGTTAGGGAAGCTGGGAGAAGACCTTGTGAGCATCTGTTCCATACTGCAGTTCAGAGGGAACAGCTTTCTGTAAGATACCTTTTTTTGTACTTTGGTGGCACAAACTTACAGAAAGCTCATAAAAGATGAAAACCCATAAAATAATGTACTCCCTTTTCAGTAATTTTCACTGCTGCACACCCACATGCCCTGGCCTATTGCTGGCAGTAATTCTTCTCTGAGAGAGCAGCAAGAAGCAGGATAGATTCCTGCAACCTGTGGAGTCCTACCTTCTGATAGTGACTTCTGGCAGCACATGAGCTGTATCGAGTCAGATTCTGTGGGTAATGGCAGAAGCAGTGCTAAGAAGGAGTCCATATATGCTGTTACATGTGTGCATGAACTGCGAAGAGCAGTGCTCAGAGCGCCCAGGAGCAGAGCATGTTCCATGTGCTGCTTGTTGCCCATCCAAACAGGAGTGCTGGTGGGTTGCTGGGAGCACAGTGAGGACATGTTGAGCAGGCACTTGCCTCTGCTCAGGCTCCTAGGTCTGCCTGTTCTCCAGAGAGCACCTTCCCTGTCCAAGCCGTGGCTGGTGGTGACACGAGAGATCTGAAGAGCAGCTTTGGAGCTGCCTGCAGCTGATCATGTTGATATACCCAGTGTGTCTGAGGTCAAATATACGATCTGGGCAGTTCCAGAGGTGTGCTAGCACACTTAACTCTCTGTTCTGGTAGAAGGGCAAGCCACAGGAGACCTCTCTAGGCACACACTTACCTGCAGCCTTTCTTCTGAAGATGTCTCCCAGCACCTCCACCTGACTGAGGCCTGTGTGGACAGCTTCTGTAGACTCTAGCCTTTACAAAAGATCTTATTTGTGCAGGCTTCCCTGTTGTGCTACTTTTATTTTGTACCCAGCTTCACAATCTGGAAAATACATCTGTTCCTGGGGCTGTTTGTCACCACAGCCATTCACATACTCCTCTGGGTAAACAGACTGTCGACAGTTTGGCCTTCCAGGAATACTGAACAACAATAATATGCTGCTTCTGCCTAACAATTGTAAAGCACTTTGTAAGCATTAGTGAATTAGGCCTTGAAGCTGCCTGTTTCCTTTTAGTTTTTATTAGCCTCAAGTGATAAACGAGGCCCAGAGCTGCTCAGTAATTTAGCTCCAGGTAGCGTAGGAAGGGTGAACTACAGCTACTAATCAAATCTAGGATTTGATCAGCCTGAGAAGTAGTGCCAGGCTGCACCCTGACCAATTCCTTAATGTGGCTCTGATAGCTCTACTTTTTATAGGCAATGGGTGCATCCAAGTTAGGAGAGTAGAGTAATTCAGCTGCAGAATTGCTGAATCCTTCCTCGCTGTTTTACACCTTTGTGACGACCTCAAACCAAGCCAATAGCCTAAGCATACACAGCTCACGTGCTGTCTCATGAAGCCTGTCAAAGTGTTCATGTCTACTTCTAGCAGAGACAACCATTATTGTCAAGGCAGATCAACTGTTCCTGGATAACATTTGACAACTCTTCTATAGAAATTGTGAGTGTGGCTTGCCAAATATCCAGCTGGAAGTAAGAATGGATGTATTCACTTTCTGCTCTCAGCTTTGGAAGTGTCAAAGAGCTATCAGTGTTTGAAGAAGCTTTACTTCTGGATAGTCCTGTCAAAGAGATTAACAAAGCTCCCTTTCATTTATTCCCTATTTGCACTATGGATTTGCAGAATAGAAGACCTCTGGAGTCTCTTCAATTTTATTTAAAAAAAAATAATGGAGATAGCTCCTTTGTAACACTGGAATTCAAGCAGACTGTCCATTTCTCCTTTTTGGGTACAAACCAACAGATTGTAACAAAACACCATTTTCATATTGTTTCCTGCTTTCTCTGTGAATCTCCAGCCAAAAGAAAAGGAAACCAGTCAGCACCTAAAACTGCTGTTTTCCACCGCTGCCTGCTACATATACACCAGCTCTGTTAATTTCAGAGGTAACTTTACCTCAAAAAAATCTTAAAGTAGTGCTTTTCATATGAGTGTGGCTAAGTTTATATCAGAGGTGCCAGGAATAAGTAGAAATGACATCATGCTAAGCAGATGCAGGTCTGCCACACAAGTCACACCAAAGATGCTTAAGAAGATAGCTCTATATGCTCAAGGAACAGAATAAAACACCAGCTTACAATGTGGGAACACAGATAAACACAGACGAATCACAGATATGTTGCAAAGAACCAGGCGAGTTGTCATCAGAGTCCTTTGGGGATTCTTAGGTTGTCCCAAGTTTGGCATTTCTCTGAATTAAGAGGTTTAAACCAGTGTGTCTTGCCTCCTAAGTGGAGCAGGCTGAGCACACTCAGTTACCGGGACTCAGCTGATAAACGTAACATGCCAAGTCACCTCAACTGGATTTGTTTAGCTGTAGGCATGTATTAACCACTTCAGCATAAATCTCTTGGGCATTTCTGTGCAGGGAACAAAACAGGAGCTGAGTGCTGGGACAATATTGCCTGACCCTGTCTAGGGAGTTCTGAGAGCTCTTTTGGGAGGACTTGGGACATATGGGAGGGGTTTTTTCTTACCTAAAACTGCATGTATGAACTTGGAAGAGTTTATAAAAAATAACTTAATAATCAATGCCATCTGCATGAGCCTATTGTGTTCATTGGAAGAGGCTCTCACTCCTGAAGTGAACACAAGACTAAGATTTACATACAATGTTAGGCATGAATTCCTGCCCATGACAGCAAGGCCTAAAATTTTCAGAACAGGAACGCCTTGAGCAGCTTGAGGAAAAGTTGAAAAAAGGAGCTTCCAAGAGTGTAAAGAAATTTCTTTGCTTGTTGGGAAATAATGGGACAGCTGCTTCAAACTCGTATTTTGGGCAATTCAGTTATTTTTTAAGCAAAAAAAATGGAAATCTTAAAAATGTGAAATCAAATAGCCAACAGAAAAAATACATGCTGATATTCAGAGACATAAATTTAAGGGTCATTTAGGGACATTTGTGCTAAGATTCTATTAATGTATGAACTGCAAAAGAAAAACCAACAAAGGCAGGGCAGGCAAATGAGTTAACAGAAGTCGATTTGGGTGTGACATGGCAGGAGGAAGCCCTCTGCCTGATTGCATGTTGCCGTCACACCACAAATGTGAGCTGCTTCTGTGCCACTTTAGCCACAAGAGGGGAAGTTTGCCCTGTCCTTCTCCCATTCTGAGCTGCAATCTGCAGAGGAGCATTTTGTGGGTGAAAGTCTTGAAGTAGGGAGCGAAAGAAGATTATTCTGCTCTGTCTTTAGCTAACTCTCTTCAGTAAAGAAAAGTTTCAGAGCAAAGACCAGTTTTGAATTCCTGCAGTTGCAAAGCAGAAAAATGATATTTTGCATCCAGGTCCATGGGGTGCTGGAGGTGTAGGCAGGATGAAGGTTAGGTTCTGAGCACGGAGTAGGCTGGTTCTCCTTATTTCAGTGTTTAAGATGGAGCCATAGACCCAGCTGTGACTCAACCTGCAATGTTTTGCTGCGACTTCCTTTCAAACCTGGCTCATAATAAATAAAGTTATGCATCATTGAACTTTGGAGATAATTGGTTATAATTTGGCTGGGAAAAGAAATTGCCACCTACTGTTTACCTTAATTAAAGTCCATGAAACAATCCGTCCATCTGAGGAGATGGAGAAGAAGTTCAAATTGTTGTCCATGTCATCCTTCTGCCACTTGACCTTAAAACAAGAAGACAGTTCCAGTCAGCATGGAGCACTCATCATTAGCAGGACAAAGCCCCATGTCCTCATCAGGGTCTTCCGAAATCCTTCCTGAAGAGCAGCTGGTTGCCACCCCAGAGGCCTGCTGGGACATGGCATGTGTGGACACCTTTATGTCCACAGGCCATTTCAGAAGTGTCCCCAGAATGCTGGTCGCTCACCTTTCTGCAGGGATGCTTCAAAGAGGTGGCAAAGCCTTCCTGTGGCCATCTCCAGCAGCAATGGGAGCATTGCCATCAAAGATGGGCCTTGTAGAGTGTCTGAGCTTCGCAGCACTCTGCACTATGGCACAACATCGTCCCAGAGATCCCTAAGACATCACCAAACACACCAGTGTTGCCCTTGAAAGTTCTCCAAGACAGCCGAGTACATCACTGACCTTGCAAAAACTCGCCCCTTCCCATTTGGCTAATTAGTGCAAGTCAGTGCCATACAGCTACCCTTCAGCCAGACAGCCTCAGCTTAGCTTTCTGTCCCTATGTCGGGTGCAGGCAAGCCCTCACAGGCAACACGTGACATGGGTCCTTGGGGCACTTCTGTTTCAGGGAGATGAAAATGTCTCCATTAAAACTGAAATCCTCCCTACACCTTCAGAGCATCTGTCTGCCTGGTAAGGAGATTTGCGTTTTGACTGTGACAGCTCAGCAGGAGAGATTAGAACTCAGATAAATGGCTTACAGTTTAGAAAAGACATTTCAGTTAGACCAAAAGCATTAAGAACGCTCGATTTTCAGATCTGGGAATTCAATCAGACTGAAGGGAAAAGGATGACTTGTCACTGGGCCTGTCAGCACACACTCTTGTGGGCATCTGTCAGTTCAGGATGGGGACAAGCACTTCAGCAGGTTCTGCTAAGGTTTTCAAAGATATATCTGTTCCTGTCCAAGCAGTGCAGCAGACACATTTCCCTAAACATCATCCGATAAACATGATAAATGGGTATGATTATCCTAGAGCTTACCAAATACTCTATCTATGATGGGCTATTTATCTGGTATCTACTCCAGAAAACAAGCAGCATTCTCCATACTTTAATTACACAGATTGGGTATTCTGATGATATTTCCTTGGGAAAAAATGGTGCTAATTCTGTTTTGTAAAATTGTTTATACTGTGAAGTTCTGTGGAGCATGAAAATACAGCAAAGAGTAATTAATCCTGTAGTGAACAGGCTTCCTACCTAGAACACACTATTTTGATGAAGAAGAAATAAAATGTGGAATGAATGCATCTGAGAATACATTAAAAAGACAATTTAATGTCCACAAGGTGCAACTGAACAGTCTCGAGAGGCATATACCTTGCACGGGAGAAATTATAAGTCTCCAAGTGGAATCACTTCTGTTATCGTGCCTTATACTTTGCACAGAAAAAGTGTTAAAAATCAGAGCTTTTCAAAATACCACTTTATAATTGTCTGAAAATAAAATGGTTTTATTTTTATGTCTAATACAGCTCTCCTCTAACTCATGTTCTTCCTCTTCAGTCTACTTTCCAAAATATTTAAGAAAAGCAATCACACTTCCTAGCCTGCCTCTAAGATAAACTGACTTTGCTTGAGGCAGGAGAAGCTCTTTCTCAAGACAGTATCTCCTATGAAAACACTGTGCAAAGGTTTTGCCATTTACATCTGGGAGTGGTTAGGGCAAGTGTCTTAGATGTCCTCTACTGAGACAGAACTACACTGCAAGAAAAGGGGCTCTCCAGTATCCAAAACCTGCAGCCTGACCACAGCAATGTCCTGAGGCTCACGTGGAAGATAAATGCAGGTGATACAATACCTGCACTGAAGCCAGCATGGGTATGAGCTATTCTGAAGTCTAGAGCCACTATCCAGGTTACTTACACAGTGCACATGCTAGGATCAGGGATGGTCCAGACCCCTCTGAAGGAGATGCCCAGCTTGTCCCCTATCAGAGTGTCTGTCCAGATGCTCAGTAAGAGTGAGCCCTGCTTGAGCTGTGCAGGGGCAGCTGCAGCTGAATTCCCAGCTCTGCTCTTGCCAGGTACAGTGTAAACATTTTGCACTCAAGCTACAGCCGAGTGACAGCCCATCACACCAGTGGAAAATACATGGATGAAGGCTCAAAGGCTGGAGTCCACCTCGATCACCCTGTGCAGACACAACTCCTGAGACCTCATGTCTATGCTAACACAAGGTACTGCAGGAATCTCGTGTGGAGGTGACCCGCAGCCTAAGTGCTATCATGAGCTCATGGTTTTCTGTGGGTTTTTTTTTTTCCTCAGGCCAATTCTTTTCACCATTATCAGCAAAGAGCTTTATCAGCAAAGAGCTTTTCCCCAAGGTTTGCCCACTCCAAATACCCTCTTTCCTGGTGGAGATCTACTCTACTCTCGGTACTCAGTTAGGTGTCACAACTACTTCTCTTCATCTGTTACACAGACAGGTGAAATCATCAGCCCCAAAAAGCAAGTAGGCTGATTTGCTTGGGTACTCTTGCTCCCACATTCAAAGCAGTGAATAGTATGTGAGCTAGGAACGTATTGTAGACAGCTTGAACACAGTTCCTCAAGGGCATCAGGATCTGCTTACAGATGACTGTCAGCAGCTCTCAGTGACATTAGCTTGAATTTCAGAAAACAGAAATTGGCACTTAATACTTTCAATTTTCTTTCAACGCCTCTGACACCTTAATCATGTTTGTGATCTTTTTTCTGCTGATCTCTGAATCCCATAAATGCTTATTAGAGAAATTAGCCTTCATGATACTGCAATCAAATCAGGCATCTGCTCAGAACTGGCCTTTTCTTTGCTCCCAGAGGCCTGTGAATGTGGCACAACCTCCTGTCATTATCAGTATCCATGCTGTGCTGGGTGGGACATTTGACGAGAGAACCAGACAACAATATGCATAGTGGCAAGAAATCAATTCTTTCCTAAAGCATATGATAATCAACCCAGAATTCTGGCTGTGTGAAACAATTTACAACAAAAGTTCAGTTATGATACAGTAACAGTAAAGAACTTCAAGAGAAAGGAAAATGTGTGTAAACAGCAGAAAGGAGACAAGTAGACATAGAGTAGTAAGTCTCTCTCTTCTCTGTGCCTGATTACGGTGGGACCTCTAATAGAATTAAGGATCCGCTGTTATTTTTAGTGTGATCTTTAACCTGGCTATTTTTGCAGTGCAAAACTAACATGTGAAACTCATTGCTGTTATAAGAGCTTAATACTTTTCATTTTTATTTCTTAAAGCCTGTTTATTTATAAAGAAGTTGAGACTGTTCAAACCTGTATTTGCTCATGGAAAAATAAATATTAAACCCTGCATGTTCACTCGTAGGTACAGCAGGTTAGCAGGGCAATAATCCATTAATTCTTAGCAATGAAGTACTATTAACTTTTTCTATGGCAACTGGTAATGGCTCCTGTCCAGTGAGACTGGACCACCATGTTTCTGATGTCACTCCTACAAAAGTAATAACACTTGATCAGTTTTCATGGCACGGAGGCTGTTAGTCACTCATACTGACAAAATACAATTGGTCAAAATCATTCTGGCCATTAGGCTGACTTGAGTGCTTTGCAGGAAGCCACAGGCAGGATCTGCCTGCCTTTCTTGTGAGGTGACACCTGCCAACACAAATCCCTCTTGCTGGACCTCGACTTGCCAAAGCTCAACTGTGGGGTGTCACATGCCACATGTGCACATCAGCTGATGAGCAATTTTTTTCCCTTTACGTTAATTATTATTCAAGAAGCACTCTGTCAACATTGGAGTACCATGGCCCTGCTGACACCTGCCCCAAGTGAAATATGAATAATTTGATCATTCAATGCCTAAAAAGCTTAATAAAGTCTGCCACAGGTAGAGAAGAAGAAACACAAAGATATTATCAAATCCTCAGGTCACCCTTACACTGGCAAGTAAGACTCTCAGATGATTCCACCAAATAATCAAGTCCTTAGGCTGCTGGGTAAGGTCTTCGCCAATATGACCTGGGAACAACATCTTTTCAGTGCTAACAGCTCTAAGCAAAGCCATCATGACAATGCAGGGTTTGGAGGGACCCAAAAGGGCCATCTATTCTGCTCTAAAGCAAGATCAGACACACCCCTACCATTGGTGACAATTCACATACCTTGTTCTCACAAGCCTCCCACAACAGGCACTCAATAACTTCCCTGTATGTCAGTGCCCCTTATATGGAAATTACCAAAAGTCAAGTCAATTACTCCTTACCACCTCCCCAATGGACCTAGAGAACAACTCTTTACTCCCTTTTTGTAAGTCTTCAAATGGGCAAGAAAAGGTTGCTCTGTCACTGCTCCTTTCTCTCTTTCCCCAATTCAACAAAACAAATTGCTTCAACTGTTGCTTCCAGGTCCTGCTCACCAAGTTTCCACCATTCTTATTCTTCTTCTTTCTCTCTCTCTGCAGCTGCAAACACATGGTACAGGGTCACCCCTAGATACTAGCAGAGAGGACTTACAGCCTCCTCTATCATATATTACTACTAATAAATCAGAAATACACATGTCTTTGTGCAAAATGCATTGAAGACCATTGGTCGTGATCTGCTACACTGCCCCCATTCTGGCACCCTGCTGCCTGACCAGTTGTCTCCTGTTTCACATCCATGCATTTAATTTCCCCTTTCTAAACACAGTACTTGCTCTTATCTTCATTGAATTTCATCACATTGATTTTCAGGCTTTACTTCCAATTTATCAAGATCATTTTAGACATAATTATGACCTGCAAACTGCCTTGTCCTCTCAAGGGGGCTTCCCTATTCTGTAATAGGAGTTGTTAATGAAAATATTGATCAAAAGAAGACCAGGACTGACAGCTGGAGGGTCTCACTTGAAGCATCTTCAGAGTCTGACAGCAAGCTCTTTGAGCACATTGCTTTGAGCAGCCTCATCATGGTGATTTTACCTAACTCATATTTCTCTACTTTGGTTATAAGAATGTCACTGTTTGAGCCTGGAC